GCTCTGGACAACGCAGTTGCGGGGATGGTTCGGGGCGCGGCGCCGGAGGGGTGGCCGGCTGGCACAGACTTTGAAGGTGCGGCTTATGACGAGATGGAAGGGGTTGCGGGGCGGAAAGGGGAGAGGCACAAGCTGCGAGTGGGCGGACGGGCGGGCGCGCAGGCATGGCGCGGCCGCTCGGCGGCGGCCGAGCGCTGCACCTCCCCCCGCTCTTGGGCGTGCTGCAAAGCATGACAAGCGGCGGGAGCGGCGCGGCGGCGCTCTCAAGCCCCCAGCGGCCCCCCACCTGGACATCAGGCAGCACCGCCCTGCCCCTGACCGGGCGCAGCAGCACGCGCCCCTGCGCGTCCGCCGCCGCGTTGCCCGCGGTGCCGACGAGTAAGGGGGTGCCGCGGTTGTTGTGCAGCAGGCTTATGGCGTCAAAGTCGGCGTTGGTGGCCTGGGCCAGGGCGCCCCTGCAGGGAGAGGTGGCAGTGGGCGTGTATGCCGGTCGGCGGGGTCGGGGCGCAGAGCTGCAGTTGTTTGAAAGTGGTGCGCGTGCTGCGAGTGCACCATGCCTGTGGAATTAGCTGGTCACCACGGCCGCTCTGCCTTCACCCTGCTGTACACGTACACACAGCGCGCACACAGAGGCAAGGCGCGCACGCGGCACGCGCGAGCACACCGGTGCGCGACGCACGCACGCACGCGCCCCTTCCTCCCAAACATCACCCGCCCCGTCCGACCCGCGCGCCGCCCACCTGGCCGACTCCCCTTGGTACCGCGCGCTGAACGCGTTGCCGTCCAGCACCACCACCTCCAGCGACACCTCAGGCAGGTCCCCCTCAAAACCGGCACCCGTGGCCGGGTCCACGAGCTCTACGCGCACGCCCGCGCCGCAGCGCGCGGCGAGGGTGTCGCCGACTAGATATTTTGAGTCAAAGGCGGAGCCGCAGCGCCGCGCGGTGCTGTGCTGGCAGAGCACGCACTGGGGCTCGGCGCAGCCGGGGGCGCTGGTTGTGTTTTTGGGGGGGGGGGAGGAGGGGGGAGTGATGGGTGCGTGGGCGGCGGCGCTGCTAGGAGGGGCTGCCGTCGTGGGTCGCCTGGGATCGCGCACACTGCTGCAGGCCCGCCCGCCGCATGGCTGGCACAAACCCCAGCCCCATGCCTCCGCACCACGGCCCTGGGTTCCGACCGGCCGCGAACCCCAGCCCCGGAATGCTCGTCCCCGGTCAGGGCGCCCCATTCGTCCCTGCAAGCAATCCCCGCCCGCCTGTGCCCTCAAACATGGAGGAAGCCGGCCCACCTGCAGTCGTGCGCAAACACCAGCTGCAGCTCCAGGCTTTCGACGGGCACCACCCCATAGTCCGGCTGCGGCAGTCCGGCCAGCGCCTCTGCCGTGGCGCGGCTCAGAAGATCGAGGTCCACGCCTGGCGCGAGCGCCCGCAGGCGCCGCGCCAGCTCGGCGAGCAGCTGCTCCTGGCGCGACCGCACGTAGTCCTGCGGGGCAGCAGCGTGGTGTGGGCGGCCGTCGGAGGATGGCTGGAGCGCGATGGGCGGGCCGCGGGCGCAGAGGCGGGGGGCCGGGCGAGGGG